GACTCTCTTCTTTTTTTCCTCCCCTTAAGAGTCCCTTTAAATGTTTGTATCAATTAGTTTTGTAAAACCATTTTACCAAGACTGAATCTAAATGCATGGCACTGTGCCCTTTCCAAGTGTCGTATGCACAAAGAGCATTAACCCCTTCTTGGGAGAACTGTCGTGTTCTTAACATATGGAAAACATCCCATAAATGCAAGGCATCCTTTTAGACCTTTAAAAGCAGACAGCTAAATAGTATATAGTAAGCAGAATGACCAGGAAATCTTCTTTGTCTTTCTTACGCTCAGGGAAGTGCTAGGTGGTTTTTTTTTTCATTTGCTCATTCATTCATCTAACACTGCTGGAAGCTGAGATAAATCACTGTGATGTCAATGGAAAAATTGGTGTCTAAGCACGAGGCAGATTGCAGCCCACATATCTATCTAGTACATACTGCCGTATTGGCTCGTTATGTCACGCGAGTAGTTTAGATGCCCTTTGTGGAAAGCTGGTCTGTCATGGGTGTTGCGGAACTTGCCAGGCATTGAGCTCATGCTGGGTAGTGTATCAGAATTACAGGGGCGAGGGCTTGCCTCCAGGGCAGTGGATGGCTCTAGGTTAAATGTTTTAACACACAGGGTGTCTATTTCTTCTTTACGTTGCATTATCCCAATTTGTACCAGTAGCTAAAGCACCTGGCTGTCCATTTCCAAGCATCCAGTGATAACGATGTGGTACAGAGATGCTCAGGTCTTGTTTCAAATCTTCACCTCCAGCTGCTGGAGGTGCACTGGCCCTCATCTATATTGGTGTTGCGTTACGTGGTCACTCTCAAGTTGCTTATGAAATCTGGAAAAACGGCGTTTTTCTTTTTTTTTCCCTCCTTGTCCATGTGGTGTGCTTAAAGTGGAATGAGCGTTAATTGAGTGACTTAACGGATGCTCTGGAAAAATACTGTAAGCTCCCTAATTCAGAGAGTTGCTTTACATAAGTCTTCTCTTGCAAACTTGCCCGCAGTTGATGTTTCTTTGAAGAGCCTGTGATGACTCTTTATCTACAGACGTTGAAGCACATTCAGCTCCGCCTGGGTGTCAGTGGTGTTCAGCACTTCATTTTCAAAGAGAATTTGTTAACACAAGTGTAGCCTGAGAGATGAAAGGATCCACGTTGAGCCTCATTTGAGGCGGCGAGACACCACACAGGAGAAGGATCTTGAGAGATAGTTGATTTCTCTGGTCAGTTGTGGCAGAGAAGCCTTTCTCCGAGTGAGCAAGAGCTTTCTCTTGCTGCATCTAAGACATAAGCTAAGGAGATTGACCGGGAAAACAGGATGGGCAGCTCCACCACGACAGCCACTGCTGTCCAGAGCACCCTGTGTTTCATCTGCTCCTTCATCTGCTGTGCTGCAGCCTGTGGTGTTTAGACCCTGTCTGCCTCCATCGAGGAGCTGTACTGAGCAGGGAAGGGTTTCACCGAATAGTGAAAAGTGACAGCTGAACATGGAAACGGAGCTATTAAACACGGCGTTTCCCTCTGGGCTGTAGATAAGCTTGTCTGTCCTTTCCTGTCCATGCTGATGGGCCCTTCTTCCTTCCACAAGCTCTCTCCCTCGTGCGTGTATTTCTCATCTTTTAAAATCATTG